TACGTGATGTGGCTCCCTTATCTTCCGACCCATAAAATCGGGACGGACTAGCAACGAAATTAACGACGAACTAATAATGGATTTATTTTCAAACTTAGTGACAAAATAGCGATGGATTTATCTTTACAATTAGCGATGAAATAACGATGAATTTATTTCAAAATTAGAGATGAAATAGCAACGGATTATCTATGAACAAAATAACCAATCCGACTATGAGATTAGATATAGATTTTTTCTATTAGCGATGGATCGGGTATTCCATCGTAAAAAATTAGCGATAAGTGAAATAGCGATGAAATATTTTTCGTTGCTATTCACGAATAATGATGGAATCGAGGCGTTTAGCGCTAGAATATTTTGTCGCTAAACTTAATTTTTTTGTAGTGGTGGACCACCTAAAATAATCTAAGATTATTTATCTAGATAGTCCAAATGAATTAATTAGGCTAAAATGGTTTTGGTCCATTAGGTTTAATTAAAAAAAGCCTTATGATAATTTGGTGGGAGGATAAACATCAACCTTATTGGATAAAGTTGAATGATTTAAAGATAATGATCAAAAAGTTCACATACAAAATAACTCCTCATCCATGGAGGATAAGAAAGCAATAACCTAGAGTCCTTTAGGGACTCATTTTCGCCCTCTCTTTGTCTTTGGAAGACAAGAAAACTCTTCTATAAATATATAGGAGAGAGGGAGGTACAACCATGACAAGGAGATATTAGGAGAGAGAGTTTTGACCAAAACAAGAAAGAAAAGAGGGAAAGAAAATTTCAGCCTACCTTAAAAAATAAACGTAAGGCACACAGCGAAGAAAAAAATTAGAGAAGCTATTTTCTCCAAAACCCTAGCAAGCCAAACTCTTACCTTCTCTTTTAAGGTTGTCATAAAATTGCCCAAGATTGATTTCTATAGGAAACACTAAATCGGAAAAGGTTAAGCTAGCACCTTATCAATTTTGAGAGCTTCTTTGTGGAGATTTGAATTGCATGGATCATTGATAGAGGCCGAACACTTGGATGAATTTTCTAAAAAGGAATTTAGATCCGTACTACAAGAGGTAATCTTGTTCCTTGCTTTAAGTCATGCATGTATGGTTAATAGATTCAACTACTTAATCTTGAGCCCTTAGATGGAAATTTTTTTTTTTTTGTTTATTCCTCACCTCCATAGGATGCATGATCCATCAAATAGGTGTATGAATAAGATAGAACATATCATTCCTTATATGCTAAAAGAGTTATCACATTGTACTTTGATAAATGTCCGATCAAGAAATCTATGGCTATAGTAAGAGTACACCAACAAAGCATAGTTGATTTACTCTAAGAGCTAAGACATTTGAGAATCGAAGAAACTTATGTGATCATAATCGAACAAGACTTATAACTAGGTTTGAGATCACATTGTGATAAGTTGACATAAAGACTGAATTGTATGGTAACCATGCTCGTAAAAGGTAACAATGGATTAATTAATCCTTCTAGAGAATTTGATAGTCATGATGTCTTGCTAGAGGCCAATCTTGATTTATGTATCAAGAGAAAAAAAAAGAAGTCTTTTGTTCTTGATACATTGCCAATATATCTATGAGCCTATTGAGTCACACATATAAGTTTAAGCATTCACATTATTAAAAAGAAGCAAAGATATTGGAAAAAGTTTTCAATTTTAAAAGTTTCCTATTTTGGAAAAGGTTTCCTAAAATGAAAAATTTCCTTAAATGGAAGTTTCCTATTTTCGAAATCAGTTTCCTAATTTAGAAGTTGATTTCAAATTTAGAGGTAAATAACCTAAAATCCTAATTTAGGTTAAATGGTTTTTTTAAAAATTGTTTCCTAATGTGGGCCATCTAAAATTATCTAAGATTATTTACTTGGATAGTCCAAATAAATTAATTGGGCTTGAATGATTTTGGCCTAATAGGTTTAATTAAAAGCCTTAAGATATTTTTATGGGAGGATAAACATAAACCTTATTGTATAAAGATGAATGCTTTAAGTATACATCAACCTTATTAGATAATGATGAATGTTCTAAAGATAAAGATCAAAAGCCCATATATAAAATAACTCTTAATCCTTAGAGGATTGGGAAGCAACAACTCGTAGTCCTTAAGAGACTTATTATCGCCCCTTCTTGTCTTTGTAGGACAAGAAAGTCTCTCCTATAAATATATTAAGGAGAGAGGTGAGGTACACACAAGAAAAAGTAAGAGAAAATTTGGCTAACAAAGAAAAATAAAAATGGACACATGGCTTAAAATAAAAAAAACTAGGAAAAATTTGTTTTCTCTCTAACCTTAGCATGCCATCTCCACTTTCATCTCTTTAGGTCGTCGCAAAATTGGCCGAATTAAATTTTTATAGGAAACACTACATAAATCAAAAAAGATGGAGCTAGTACTCTATCAATTTTGAGTGTTTCTTTATGGGTGCTTAGACTATGTAGATCATCAATAAAGGCTCGACACTTGGATGGTTTTTCCACTAAAGTATTTAGATTTACGCTATAAGAGATAATTCTCGATTCATTGCTTTAATTCACACATATATATATATATATATATATATATATATATATATATATATATATATATATATATATATAGTTAGTTAGTTAGTTAGTTAGTTAGTTAGTTGATTGAACGACATGATCTTGGGCCCTTTAGATGGAGGAATTTTTATTTATTTATTTCGCATCTCCATAGGATGCATGATCCTTCAGAATAGTGGTTAGAACTTCCAAATAACTATAAGGATAGAAAGCTTTTTTAAAGATGATATGATTAAGCGAGATAAGGTCAATGAAATTAGCCGACTTAGAACTTCGAACCTTCAAAAAAATGGTTACTTAAGCTTCGGAATAGTGGTCGAACTTCTTAATAACGAAGATGACTTACAAATAAGGAAAATGGGGAAGTTCATGTCTTGGCGAGTGATAACTTATGCTTCTCATAAGAAGGTAGGATGTGCCATTTACGCTCTAGCCAAGGGAAGGTCATCATTTTGACTTTGAGAATGGTTACTTGCATAAACCAAATGCTAAAGGAAGGCGATTTTTTTTTTTAACCTTGGAGATGGTTATCCACATTAGCCAATTATCAAGAGAAGTTCACTTTTTTACCTTGGATATGGTTACCTATATTAACCAAATGTAGGTAACCGTATCCAAGGAAGGCCTCTTTTTTTTTTTTTTTAACCCTAGAGATGGTTATCCTTATTAATTAATTACCAAAAGAAGTTCATTTTTTTACCTTGGATATCGTTACCTACATTAACCAAATGCTAAAGGAAGGTCACCTATTTCACCTTGAGAATGGCTACCCGTATTAAACAATCACCAAGGGAAGGTTACTTATTTGACCTTAAGGATGGTTATCCACTTCAACTAATTACCAATGGAAGTTTATTTGTTTAACCTTAGGAATGGTTACTCGTATTACCCAATTGCCAAGTGAAGGTTATTTGTTTAACCTCATGGTGTTGCTTGTTTTAACCTATATTTTGGGGGAGGTCACCTACAATTTACCAATAATTTAGGGATAGTCATTCACCATCCGATCTTGCCTTTTGATTTTTTTGCCTAATTACTTCTCAATTGTTTTTTGCTTGATTATTATTAATGCTTTATTTGTTTGTAATTCTTTCATGATTTTCTTTACAAGCTTACTATGTTAAAAAGGAAAAAAAGAAAAAGAAAAACATTCTTTTTCAATGGATTTGCATCATAAACATTGTAAAGAGGAAACAACTTAACTCCCATTTATTGCCATGAATTCTAAAAATAAAAATATAAAAAAAAATACAAACAAATAATAAAAAAGGAGGAAAATTAGAAAATTAGCATTTGAGGGCTAATGGAAAAATTAAGGGAAGTGCGAGACAAAAAGAAGCCAAATTGAGGGGTGTAGTTGAATATGAGAAGCCAATGGTTTTAATTAGGAATGAGATTGGTTTAATTGAAATAAGTAAAAATGAAAGGAGATTGAAAACGTTCAATCTTAGGCAAAATTGAAACGAAAATAAGGAGGTGGAGGGATAAAATAAAAAGAGTGCAAAAGATGAGGGACCAAAATCAATCTTGGCCATCAAATCCTAAAAACTCGTTAGCACTAATTTTTGTCCCTATTATTCTTATTTCTATTTTTTATTTTTATTGAAACAAATGATAAACAAAACAAAAATGGCAAGTATAAAAGAAAAAAATATGTTGGAATAATTAGCTTATATTAGTTCTAGGAGAGGGCTAAAAAAAGAGTTTGAAAATTAAAAAAGAACGATTGAGGGTACAATAAAAAAAAATCAAAATCTTGTCCTTTAATTAAAATGAAGAGGGGACACAATTGAAAGAAATTAAAAAAAGGTCGTAATTAATCAAAATTTAAGGGCCTAATCGAAATAAATAATTAGAATTAGACTTAGATTGATGAATTGTGGAGAATTGGGACCAAAATTAACTTTTGCTAAAAAACCCTAAAACCTACCTATAAAACCTCATTCCCTTAAATATTTAATACCTCATCCTATTATTCACCGATTGCATTTTGCTCAGCACAGTCGCCTCTCTTTCCTTGGCGAAAAAAACTCCCACTCAGCCTAGGCTATTCATCCATTTCTCTCTCTCTCTCTCTCAAAAAAAAAAAAAAAAAAAAAAACAAAAAAGGGGGGGGGGCCACCACTTAGCAGCCACTCCCCCTCCCTTGCCCATGATTTTCCCTCGAAAAGCTCCCTTCACCCGACCAACCTCCCATTCTTCAACCCCCATCGGCTGCAACAAAAAGGGGGAGGACGTAACCGCACTTCATCATCCTCCTCCCCCCACTTCGGCAGTCACCAATCATCCCCGCCACTATCTCAAATCTTGACCGTCCGTCACTCCCTCCTCTTTCGCCAAATCACTATCACCCAACTAGCTGAGGCCTACCTTTCCTAGCTTTCCCTCACCGAGCCCCACCTCCACCCCTTCCTCCACATCTCTGATACCCTCTTAAGAGATGCCCAACAATTTGACCACAAGATTGAAAAAGGAGAGGATGTCGGCTCCCTTGCTGGGGTCTTTGTTGGGGTCAAGGATAATATCTGTACGGCTGACATGCCTTCTATCGGTGGATCGGTGGCTCCCTCATCTTAGAGAACTACAAGGAACTGTATGATGCAACAACAGTTAGGAGAGTGAAGGAGAAAAAATGGGATTATAATTGGCAAGACTGATTTGGACTAGTTTGGCATGGGAAGTACCACTGAAGCTTCTTCTTTCCAGGTGACTGAAAACCCATGGGACATGTCTCGAGTGAGTGGTGGATCATCAGGTGGGCCGGCTGCAGCTGTTTCTGCTCAACAATTCATGGTGTCACTTGATAATGATACTTTTGGAAGTGTGAGACAACGAGCATCTTCTTGTGGTATTGTTGGATTGAAGCTAACTTAAGGGCGTGTCTCCCGATTTAGACTTATGGCTTATGCATCATCACTTGATGTTATTAGAGGCTTTGGTACTTCAATTGCTGAAACTGGCATCCTCCCTCACGCAATTTCTGGTCATGATAGATTTTATGCCACTAGTAATAACTGACTGATGCACGTGCAAAATTAGCAAAAAACTGGTCTTTCATATGCCATTTCAAGGGCTAATCTATAAATGGAGAAAGAAATCAAAAGATTTGTATTTGAAGATTCAAGAACTTCAGATTTCTGTCAATTCTTGTTTGCAAAAAATGTGCTGATGAGAGACAAGTCGAATTAGAGCCCAACAGGATTTGAGGAAGCCCTTAGCACAGCCCAAGTCTGAGAATCTGGAGCAGACTTCTTATCGCATGACCCCTATTGAAGTTATTCAGTCCTAATTATCTACTAGAAATGAGGCTCCAAGGCAACCTTTACTCGTACCTCTTGCTGTGCATGATTTGTTTCATATAATACAACAGGATGTGGACCGAGATTTTCTTTTGAGAATGTCTTACCTGGAGATATATAATGAAGATATTAATGACTTATTAGCTCCTGAGCATCGAAAGGTGCAAATTCATGAAACTATAGAGAGGGGAACATATGTGGCTGGATTGAGTAAAGAAATTGTGGCCTCTCGTCAACAAGTTCTTGACCTTATGTAGTTTGGAGAATCTCACAGGCACATTGAGGAGACAGACATGAACTTGTATAGTAGTAGGTCATACATAATTTGTCGCATGATTATTGAGAGTCGGGGTAGAACTGAGGATGAGGATATTAATAACTCATGTGATGCTGTACGTGTACAAGTTTTGAATTTGGTGGACCTTGTTGGTTCTAAACATGCGGCAAAAACTAGCGCTGAAGGTGTTCCGACTCAAAAAGGGATCACACATAAACAAAAGTTTGATGACATTTGGCACTGTCATTAAGAAATTGAGTAAGAGCGCTGAAAGCCAAAGGGGGTCATGTTCAATACAGAGATAGCAAGCTCACATGCATTTTGCAGCCTACACTGGGTGGAATTGCAATTACAGCTATAATATGCAGCATAAATCTTGCACAAATTCAAGCGGATGAGACAAAGAGAAGTCTATAATTTGCTAGTAGAGTGTTGCATGTCACAAATCGTGCTCATGTGAATAAGATTGCATCTATATTGATTTTTGACAAGAAAAACATAGCATTAATTTTGTTGCTGATTCCCCCAAGTTTACAGAAAACTTCGCAAATTTACAAAATTTTTTACAAATTTTCAATAACTTTTGCAGCAGCAATACCTTAACCATTTGCACGCCCATCGAAGAGGATTTCGATTGCTGCGGTGGGACCTATATTATGTTTTGCCAATAAGTAGTTGTTTTCTTTCTCTACCTAACCGATAATTAGTTATCATTAGGCATGAAGAGAGTAAAATTGACTTCGAATCGGACATTTGAATTATAAAATATTTTGGGTAAAAACTCTAAAATCACGATACTCTTTAAAAATATGAATAAAAAATGATTATATTCCTTTAAAACTTTAGCAAAATTGTCGGATGGCGTTTAAATATTCATAATTTATATGTAGTTAAAGTGAATATTGCTATAATGGCTTCTATAGGCAAACTATCTTGTTTTACACCTATATGCTTAATTTGAAATTTATACATATTTTTGTGGTTTGATTGACTTACGATGCTCGATCTGCTATGCTTCGAAATGAAATCGCTAGTGGCTTTCCACTTATGTGAAGAAGCCACTAGTGGTTTTACAATAATTTTTTCGTTTTTTGTTTGCTTGGAATAAAGCTGCTAGTGGCTTTCCACTTATGTGGATGGAGTTGTCGAGTGGCACCTAAATCAATTTTATTTAATGTTTACTTGTCTAAAACGAAGCCGTTAGTGGCTTCCCACTTATACGACGAAGCCGTCGGTGGCTTTTAAACTAGTTATTTGCTTTTTGCTCGAGCTAAATAAAGTAATCGATAACTTCTCATATGTGACGAAGTTGTTGGTAGCTTCCCAAATTCATGAATCAAAGTCGTCAATGGCTTTCTACTTATGCAAGCGAAGTTGTCGATGACTCGCTACTCATGCCAATAAAAATCTATCCATATTTAGAAACTCACCTATTTATCGATAATAGGTCTTGTTCACTAATGACAAGCTAAAATTCCAACTCCCTCGACCTTTCCCCTTTAAGTAGAGAGTATTGGTCTTAAACTAGCTTCGAACTCTCAAACTACTATGTTTTACATCTAAGTGCCCAAACTACCTTCTTTTTATATTTTGACAAAATAAATTTATTTAAATAGGCATGTAAGCATAACATAGTAAAAAACTAAAATTTTATTTTCATGTGCAAACAATGCGAGCATACCTTAGGTAGGATGGGATGGCGAGGATGTCATATCTTCCCTATATGTAACCAACCCCTTAACTAGATATCGATGTAGACCGGTATGTTTAGGATTTTCTAGTTTCTCTCAATTAGCTAGGTGGCGACTCCTTGTCCGCCTTTTGTAGGGCCAACGTCGATAGAATTATGATTCCACTAGGGACTTGCCATACTAGGGTCAACTTTGAATGCCTATGTTCATAAATATTTGGTTTTGCTATGCCTCTATGCCTATTTGTTTTGAGTGAGTGATTGTCATTTAATTGCCTATCTGTTTTTGTATTATGAAAACATGTCCGCATATATATGTGCTTTTTGTGTTATTTTTCTTGCGAGTTTTAGTTGTTTAATTTCTAGCCTTTTATTTCATATTTTTAAGACTAAATATGGAATCATGCCCCACACACCACACTTGTATAACTTTAACTATCATTTGTATTCACTTCAAGATCTAGGGAGTTAGTAGTGGTGCCTTGATATGTTTCATCCCGAGTAAACACTTATGAAACCTTAAGCCTTCTTGCTAGCTGTCAATAGTGATGGGTAATCGATGACTTTTCATGATTGATAATATCTTCGTGGATAGTCTTAATGATTATACTAAAGACCTAACGAGTCGAAGGTACTCTTTGAGATTTAGATACAACTTACCTACTCATGTTGTAATGCCTGTACCCGCTAAAATAGAAATGTAATAAAAGTTTAATATTAAAACCATGTGAAAATAAATAAATAAATATTTTTGAGAACAAGAAATAATTATTAGAAACTTAAAAGAATATTTAGAATGGTCAAAATAGTTTTCCGTGCTTAAAGAATATTTTATTAATTTTTTGGTACATGAATAGTAGTTATTGCATGAGAAAATTAATTAAAGCATGTTGTTTGTGTATGAAAAATATTTTTTTTGTTTAGAATAATTGTTAAAAGGGTGTTAGATTATTTTATATGGTTTTATGAATTTTTCTACATATGGTGAATATTTCATTGAATTTTCTAAGTGTAGGAATAGTGTTTTTAGAGGTAAAGAATTTAATTAGGCACCTTAAGAGTATGAGAAATTTTTTTAAGAGCATAGAATAATCATATAGGACATGTGAGAGTGCCTAGAAAATTTAAATTAATTTTAGTAAGTATAAGGAATAATTTTTATAGGAAAAAGTGTAATTTTCACACTAAATAAATAAATTCAAGGCTCAAATTAGGGCCAAAAAATTATGAAAATTTAAATAAAACTCCCTTAATGAATTTTTGAATTTATTCTAGAAATAAAATTGATTTTTGAAAAGTATAGAATGGAATTTTAAAAGCGGGGACTATTGCATAAAATTAGGGACTCGATTGCATAAAATTAAAAGTCTAATAATCTGAATTAAATCATGTGATAATGTTAAGGGTTAAAAATTAGTCCTAGAAACTAAAAATTAAGGATTAGAAGTGAGTTTTTGCATAAAAGAGGGACTTAGAAAAGAATGAGCTTTGGAGAAGTCTAGAAACTTGGAGGATCAAAATGTATCATTTTCCTCCCAAATTTGGTCAGCCTAGAGAATTAAATAAGTCCGACTCGCGGTAAAAATTATGGCCAAAAATAAACAACGTGGAAGGGTTAAATAAAAAGGTGAATAAATGGCTAAACATTAGGAAAAATGCAAATGAATGATCGAAAATTGAATTAAGAGCTGAGATTTTTCCACATTAAGGGTGGTGATGAGGTAAATGATTTCAAAAAATTTCATATAAATAGTGTGCTAGAAAAATAAAAAGAAGAGAAAAAATTATAAAATACAAAGGAAACTCTTACAAAATTTTTCACTTAAAAATCACCCAAAATATTTTTAATAAATTCTATCCACCTATAATCATTGGAAGAAGCTTGAATTTTAAGTGGGAAGCCAAAAATGCGAAAGGAAAAATTTGAAGATCAAATTCAAAAATTTAGAGGAAAAGAGGAGAAAGAGAAATCCTTCAGCAATCTACCTTTTTATGGTCTAATTGGAGCTCAAACAAGTAATTTAACCTCACTTACACCACCAGCATGCTTAATTTCAAGTCAATTTCATGTTTAATTACTTGATTTCGTTTTAATTGCTCAATTAACAAAAAATAGGGTTAGGGTTGATGAACCAAATTTTGGGTTTTTTAATTCTTTCATTTAATTGATATTTTGGAACTTGATTCTGACTTATTTGAGCATGAATTAATGTTTAGAAATAAAAAATTACACTTTAATTGAAGAAAAATCCACTAATTGTTAGAAATTATATTTGGCCCAAACTAAGCAAATTAGGGGTTGAGTTCAAAGCAATTTGATTCTGGTTTGATGGATCATTCACACTTGAATAAGCATGTTTTGATGAGTAGAAATGAAAAATTTACTAAAAATTGAAAAAAATGGGTTTTATGGGCTTGGGCCCAATTTAAGCTCTTTAAGGCCCAATACGGGTTTGGAAAAGATTTCGGGTCCCAAATTTTCTTTAAATTAATTCTTATATTTTTTACATATCTAGGCTACCTAGTGTTAAAACGGTGGGACAAAATGAGGAGAAAATGTTAGATTTTAAAGAGGTCAAGTTTAGGCCTAAATGGAAATTTTGGAGAATTAGGTTTAAACCAAGTTTTAAACCTTAAATTTGATGATTCAGACTCAAAACACAGTAAAAAGATGGTTTAGAATGAAAAGGTCTCACAAAAATTTAAAGAAAAATTGGTTTAGAAAAAATTAGGCTTAGGCCCATTAAGGCCCAAACCAAAATTGAACCTCATAAATCGATGAAATAATACCTATTTAGGTTGGAACATGAAATGATACTTAATTTGGTAAAGACTAAATATGGAAAGATAATTAAGAACCTAAGGAAAGGAATTTAGGAAAGTAAAGTGAAAGGTAAGTTTAATGAACAAAGAAATGGAGCAAAAATGTTAATTTTCCTTTATGTTATGGTTATGTTCTTTCAAATGCTACATGAATGTATTAGGTTATGAATAATAGTTGTTCTTGAATGTGATTGATGATGAGAATTGGGTTATGATGATTGATGTGCCAATGATGGTCTGTGTTGGTTTATATTGGATTGATATTATCTATGCTTTATGCTTGCCTAATTTTATATCGATTCTTATGACTTGGTTACATAACCATTCTAAGTAAGCATTCATGAATTCATATAAATTCCGGCTCATTGCAAATTGCATACGCATGCTTAGCTCATGAATAATGTTTTAAGTCATGGAAATATATTTTGTGTCATGGTTATCCGATAAGCAATCAAAATGATTTTAAAGAAAAAGATTTCCATGACTTTGAGGTTTTGAGGAAAGGACTTCATGGGTTTTTCATATAGTGATTGTAATGGTTGAGGGCTAGGCAAGTGCGGATGTGCACTTTTAGAGCATCGGTAGGCCGCGTCCGTGGATGGGTCCGGTTCGCCAAACATATATGATGGAAACCACGAAGTACTTAAATGAGACATGTCTATAGATAGAAAAAGGATTTTCGGATCGTTTATGAAATATTTTATCCCATAAGAAAAAGGATTCATTATGCATATCGGTGTTTTATGCATACATACACATGTACATACATTACATGCATATGTTAACTTACTAGCTCGTAGCTCATACGAGTTCCTTGTGGTATAGATAAATAAGATACTATAACTCACTTCTCCGCGAAGGCGACTACCGAGAGAGGCATCGGACACATGTAGCTTGGATGAGG